GGGCCACTGCTTTAGATCAAGGAGCTGAAGTATCGCAAGCTTTTGGTGCCATGAAAGGCATGTAAAAAAAAAATATGGTATGTTTCCAAAATTGTACTGCCATTGTGGCGTTCTTATTTTAAAGTTCCCCACAGTCTCGCCAGGTTATTGTTGACATGCTTTTTTATTTTCGTGAAACCAGAAACCGCTTGATGCGGTTAATATCTATAAGTTAAAAAAATTAGACGGTTTAAATTTGTGGCAATTTCACATTCTGCATCATGAAGCGATAAGGCTGGCATCATCTCAATCTCGCATCATCATCATCCTGTAATAATCACTCACACAATTTGTGCCTGGAAATGGTCTCAAGTTAGCTAATGTGAAAATGATTTTGGGCGAGCGTCTCTCGTTTCCGACAGTCGTGTTGGCACAGATTCACCTCGCTGTGTTTCTAATTGTCATAGTAATTAGCAGCAATGGCATTCAGGTAGAAGCTTTCAAGGTGGGAGGTCATAACTGCTTCCGCTAATTAACGTGAAACCCAAGTGTGCCACATGATGACTTGCCAAAAAAAATGAATGTTGTTTTAATGTGAACCGCAATAGTGGACTGATCTGTCTTGTCAGGTTGAGGTTGTGCAGCCAAATTTTTAGGTCTCGCTTTTCTCCAGCGCGAATTATATTATCATCTCAAGGACTAGAAGCTCCAATCTTTGGATCACAAGGATTGTGGAAAGGAGGCATCACAATAATTTGGGAAATTACATATTTCTTCTTTAGAGAGACTATTATTTAGCAGGTTATTGATTTTTAATACCAGTCAGTATTAGTCAATTTGATTAAGTTAGCGCAAGCAACAAGACTGATTAGTTTGTGCGTGTGTGTGTGTGTGTGTGTGTGTGTTGTGTGTGTGCGTGTGTGTCTGTGTGTGTTTGTGTGTGTGTGTTTGTGTTTCAGTCAGCACTCCTATGCCTCTTAACAATTTCCCAATGTTAATTATAGCAACAAAGAAAAACATCCCTCCTGGCCTTCACAATATTAATTTCTTTTTGTTGTTTTTTTTTTCCATTTGCTACTTAAATCTCACATTGGTTCAAACAGTCATATTAGCAAATCTGTTTGTTGCCCTCTGTGGCATCTTAGTTGCTCTAGTGAATCAGTCAGTCCACAGTGTTTGGAGCTGCAATGACTTATCTGCTCTTGGGACCTGTGGGGAGCCTCGGGGGGTGCGGTGAACTTTCATGCCGTCGCTGCTACTGCAGCAGCAGCTGCTGCAGCAGCAGCAGAGAGCAAAAGTTGTGTGCATTTGATTGCCTGAGCATGTAGCTTTGGTTATTATTCAAAGCGAGAGCCTCACAGTGCAGAGGCCGTGGGTTCGATCCCGGCTCCAGCCTTCCTGTGTGGTGTTTGCATGTTTTCCGCGGGCCTGCATTGGTTTTCTCCGGGTACTCCGGTTTCCTCCCACATTCCAAAAACATGCACGGCAGGCTGATTGAACACTCTAAATTGTCCCGAGGTGTGAGTGTGAGCGCAGATGGTTGTTCGTCTCTGTGTGCCCTGCGATTGGCTGGCAACCAGTTCAGGGTGTCCCCCGCCTCCTGGGATAGGCTCCAGCATCCCCCGCGACCCTTGTGAGGATAAAGCGGATTGGAAAATGGATGGATGGATGGATGCATGAATATTTAGGATAAAATGATGGCATACTAACACTCGTCCTGAATTAGCACTGATACTGTTTTGTAATATGCCACCAATATTTGGAAAAGTAACCTGAATACTGTATACTATAATGGTATTATCGAATAGATTTTAGCAGTTCATCCAACTGTCCTCTTGCGGTTATTCTGAGATTGGGTTTCAGGGGCAGGAACCTAAGGGCCCAGACACCCTACGGAGCGAACTCCTTTTAGCCGCTTGTGTCTGTGACTTCATCCTGTCGGTCATGAGCCACAGCATGTGACAATTGGAGCTTGTGGGAATGTGGATCGACCTTTGAGTCGAAGTCGTCGACTTGAAACAAATTCCTCTGCTCCTATATACTATGCACCTGTTTTCCTCTCAAAAAAAGTGGGTGGTAATATTTTATAGACACTGCTCTAAGCACACAGACACTGATCCATTAACAGTCACTCATATGGAAAGGGGTTTACTGGCGGCCACTCAACGCGTGGTAAATGTTCATCTTGTGGTGACGATGTCTTTTCCAGAGAGGACCACTCTTGTCACTCCAGTGTTCATTTCATGTTTCAGGGAATAAAGTCATATTATTGTTTTAAAATCCAGATTGATTTTTTATCGAATATATATTACAGTATATTGTAATATAGAAGTATTCTGATTAAGCCGCACCATTTGTTTTTGTTCATACAGTCAAACCTCGGTTTTCGACCATAATCCGTTCCAGAAGGCTGTTCGAAAAGTGATTTGTTCGAAATCCGGAACTATTAAATTAGCCCATGATTAGAGGCTAATACATGATGCAGAAACCACAAAAAAAAAAAAAAAAAAAAAAACAGTCAGATTTGCGTAAATCACAACAAACACGTCTGCTCACAATGAACGTTACACAAGGAAGCGTCACTTCCTCATGTAAGTGTATTCTGGTTTGCTCAATTTGGTCGAAAACTGGTTTTCGGTCGTAATCCGAGGCGTAAAAATCTTGAATTTTCTGGTCAAAATCCGATTTGGTCGATAACAAAGAAGTTCGAAAACCAAGGTTTGATTGTATTGTGTTTATTCAAATGAAAGCCTCCCTTCCTCATAAGTGCCCTTTCACAAATAGACCCGGTCCTTTGCGGCCGAGTAACTTAAACTTGCCCACTGCATTCACTTGATACACCGATATTTTAACTTGACTCCCGGATGTCTGATACAGGTGAAACGCTCCTGTGGTGGTTGTTAGGCCGCTGTTGTTTTTTCCAAGGCTCTGGGGAGGTTCTTGGCTTGTTGTTGAGTGTGATATTATGGAACAAATAGCTCAGTCGAGCAGCAGAGGAGATTGCCCTCAGGGCGATGAAAAGGGGGAAAGCAGTTTGTATGCTGAGACATTACATGCACTTGATCCACAGTGCCTTTGAACACTTGTTTCTTCCGAAAATAATATGAGGTTAAAAAAAATAAATAAATACACACAATGAGTTTGTGTTAAACCACTAGATCTACCCGTATTTGTAATTTGCATGAGTTTCCTTCATTTAACATATAGGAAGGGTTTAAGCGCAGCATGGCTCTCCTCCGTCTCAGGCCAGGCACAAAATACATTTTCTGCTCGGCTCAATCAGCGATGCTGTGGCTTTAATCCTTTGCCCTCGGGGGACAGCTGACATGGATGAGAGTAAACTGTTGACATGGAGCTGTCTCCTATGCTCTCTGATCAAAGCCCACGCGGCCCTCCTATTTCACAACCTGCCTTCAAATATGCTCGGAGTATCTGGCGCAGATGCAGCCTCCCTCTCTCTTTCGCACGCATCATTTTAATCCACCGCGAGTTGATCGATGTGATCACAAAGCGACTATTTATGACGTTTCCGCTATAGCCTCCGTGACCTTCCTCCGAGTACGTTGCGTTCGATTTGGAATACGCTCACGTCGTAGTGAATGCCGTTTTTGGAGTCATCAATGTGCTGACTTAAAATGAAAGGGAGAACTTGGCTTGATGCAGCGCAGTTTAATTAATCCCCAGTAATGATGCAACTATTAGTAAGAGCCAGGATTATTTTAAGTGGCTGGAGGGGTGAGAGATGGTATGGGGTGCTGGGATACACAAGAGATACAAGTCGGTGACTTTTGACTTCTTGGCTGAATTGCCATCATGGGTTTATTTATTTATTTTTTGGGTTGGGTTTTTTGTTGTTTTTTTTTTTTTTAGCACAATGAAACACAAGATGTCTGCTAGATTGAACACAATACGTTCTCTAACGGCAATTTGGCATGGACTGGTTACTTTTTTTTTTTTCCAAGGTTTACCACGGTTTTAAAAAGTCATTTTCATAACTGCTAAATTTTCCCTTCAGCGCTTTGAGCGTTTTTTTTCTATACATAAAATACTTTGTCACAGCAAAGTTAAGTGACATCATCTGGTTCCACCTCCTGAGCCAATCACAGTTGACCATCACACTCCCCGCAGAGATCCTGATGAAAACATAGCACGCTCTCTCACAAACACACACACACAAAAAAAAATAAATAAATAAAAAATGCCAATGCTGTCCTCCCTAAGAAAAACATGAGACCAAACACAGGTGATACAGGCGGGGCGTGTTTCTGTCAGTCATCAGCAAAACGGGCGTCCGTCAGTGACTGACTCAGTGTGTGTGTGTGTGTGTGTGTGCGCGCGTGTGTGTGTGTGTGTGTGTGTGTGTGTGTGTGTGTGTGTGTGTGTGTGTGTGTGTGTGTGTGTGTGTGTGTGTGTGTGTGTTTCATTTTTTTTGAAGTCTGAGGCACCAGAAAATCCGTTTGATGGTTGTCAAAGTACAACAAGAAAATGTGTGATTTAATCCTGTGCGGTTGACAGTGTCACTGCTTGTGGCAGCCACGCTGAAGCGCATCAGTGGTGCAGTTGAGTTCCAGGCCAGCTGCTGCAGAAATGGATGTAATTGTTGGTAACTGTTGGAGTGCACAGCACATCACAGGCTCTGCAGGCTGGCAAATCTTGTTGTCTGCAGGTCTTGATGGTGATGATCATTGCCAGCCGTTCAGGCTTTGTGTCAAACGATGCTTACTGGACTGGAAGCGAGAGGTTTTTGTTGGCGCACGTTTCTTGCTATTGCTTCTAAGGATCAGACATTGGGGTGGTAGATACTGCTGAAGTGTATTTTGATCAGCAACTACCTCAGGGGGTACCACCATGCTAGGAGTTGTAGCATCTTCGATCTGATAAGATACTCAAGCGGTCATATAAAATTCCAAGCATGGAAATTCTACGAACGTGTTATATTTACAACCCACTGGCCAAGCACAACATTAACATTTGGTAATCTCATTTTGGCCGTCTCCCTAAATGTTCTCTTCTCCTCGCAGTCACATCAGATGGCCAGCCTCACCATGCTGGAGCAAGGCATCATGGGAGCACGGGTCTAATGAGGGAGAGGAGGGCGGCTGGGGACTCCTACTGGTCCTACTCAGGTAAATCTCATTTCAGAATCACAGTTGTTTGTCTTTCTCACTTTATCAGTTCCTCCCTGTGAGGGAATTTGTATGAGTGTGTATTTTCCCTTTTTTTTTTTTTGAAATGCATTCCATCGCCCCCTGAACTCCCCTCTATTTTAACAGGAAGTCAAAGCCATTGCACCAAGATATAACTCTTTAAGATTTATCTGCGTTCCTGGCAAATGTTTTCATCAGACGCACACAGCAACAGTTGGCCCGGGATGCGAAAACAGCTGTATTTCTTGGCCTCCCTCTTGCTTCTCATAATTGTTAGCATACATGCTTTTAATGCCAAACAAAATGCTTTTGGGAAATCAAAACTTGCCTCCTTCATTTCCCCTCCTCCCCTTTGACTAGAAAAAAACACTGCAGCCCAAGTGACCACTCATGGAGGCACATTTGTCTTTTGATTTCATTGCATACATTTGGGATGCAGCTGCAGTCAGGTTTACATGTGGAAATTGTACAATATTACCACAAAAGTGGACCGCAATCTGTCCAAACTACCTGTAGTAATGCTCCTCGAGTTTTAATTTACTCTACAGATAACGTTAACGTTATTTGTTCTGTCAAGCAGATGGACAAAACAGGAGGTAGTAACCTACCAAAAATAAAACCGGTGACTACGCTGAACATTTCTTAATTGAACCACCACTTGTGCTTCGTCATCCACATGGCCACCGGCATTCGTCTCCAACTGTCATGACACTGGAACACGATGCGCGGTAGAAGTACTTGGACACTGCGGCAGTCTTTCTGCCTTGTAGGGCTGTGCTTACCTCACCGTCGCACCGACGAAAAAGCAAAACAGAAACGCACATAGTTAACACTTTGATGCTGCCTGAAATGAGCACTCGCATTTATGACAGTTCAACGCTTGAAGGTGTGGACAGTAGAAATGCTCTTCTGCACAGCCTTTAAAGGGCAACAACTGATGTTGAGTTCAAAGACTGGAAATAAACAAACGGTGGCACCCGTATGTGTGTGTGGTGCCACTACTGTTTAATTTGTGACACCATTATACCTGAAATATGCTGCATTCATGACATAAACTATTCATAATACATCCACCCACCAATCCCGCATTTCGAGGTTGCTCATGAACCTGGAAATCAGCGAGCGCTTGACCTCACTGGTTTACTAGTTTACGAATCCTTGTTCGAGAGCATGGCAAAGAATGGAACACACCTGGAATCCTTACAATACATTTAATGGCTCAGAACAGTTCTGCTAAGCACATGTTTTAGCTTTTTCTTTTTCTTTAAAGCACTGCTTCATGTTCAGCCACACACATTTGCAGCGGACACCTGAGGCCCCGTGCAAACAAAGCTGTCCAGCGGGAAATAGAGGTTATGTGCTTTGGTAAAGGGCACCTCACTAGATGGGCCCAGGAGGCGAGAAGCACTCTGTTAAATTGTATTTACAGCTTCCAAGGTCTAAAAACAGCTTCCGGAAAAAATAACTAACTTGCTCTCGGAATGTAATGCATTTCTGTGTATGATTGGATTAAGGGGGCAGTTTATATTTGATAAAACAATTGCAGAAGAAGCTCGCGTTCATATGCGGGAAACAGTGTAAGTCTGCTCAGTATCCGCGTCACCTCAGGTACAGGTCTTAATCTCGAGTAGTTGACCGGCACACGAAGTGAATGACTATCCAAGCGTGGCTGCTACTTCACTTCTTACAATATTTAAGAGACGTTAGAGGGGGGGCTGTAATCACTTGAAACATGACCTTGTGTTTCTGAGCCACCTCCCTTAAGAGTCGGTAAATGATTAAATGCGCTCTGAGAATTATTTTAAATCAACAACACCGTTACGTTTCGACTTGAGTGAGTTGCAGCGACAGCAAAAAGCATCATAATTTAACGATTTTTTTTTTTAAACACACATCCAATTACAGAAAACAGATTAGAAGCCTTTGTTTCAATATAACTGGCATGGTAACATGAAATTAATTAGTAGATGACCGCCTCTGTATGAATTACTGTGTGAAATCACGCATCTCCTCTATAAAAGTTAATGTTATATGTAATAAAATGTCATTAATTTTTAATGATGACAATAATTTAAGCCCGCCTCTGCTGTGCAGGAAAACCTATATTTGTAGCAGCGGCAACGCCATTTGACGTATTTCAATTGTGTGTGTGTGTTTGTGTGTGTGTGAGTGTGTGTGTGTTATATTACAATCCATCTTAATGAAGACCAATTCGGAATCATTTTCTTGACGCCTTACTGATAACGGAATATTGTTATACGCAAATTATTTTATAATCGGAGCAAAGACGATGTTTGTGCGCAATTGTACAGCCCGCTAATCCTTCACCAGTCAGCTGGCTTGACCGCTTGCTGAAAGAAAAGGAAGGCATTGAGGCAACGTAGAAATGTCCATTGCCTTGAAAAGGTAATTAGCAGCTAAGGCTGTGAATGGAGGACCGACAAGCGTGCCTCAGCAGCTAAATGGTTATTAAGGGCATTTGCTCTGTGCAAGTGAGTGGAAAGAGAAATGCAGACAGCTGGCTGAGCCTGAAGCGGGAAGGTAGCGAGGACAAGACAAGACTTCAGGACTGAGCTATGCACACAAACATGCAGAGTCCCACTAGGTTTCACAGCCACCGTCCTTTGAAGATCCGATAATGAATTACGACAGCGTCTATTCTAGGATCCACGGTCATGTTTCAAACAAGATATTATTAAATGTCTATTCAGTCCAACTGCCTAGTCGAAATACAAATTTGTCCAAATTGCTGCTGAAGAGCATGAGAACAGTGTCAACCAGAAACTCGCGTTTGCAGTTGCCACCGGGACTTGTATTCATGTATTCAAGCTGAGCATTATGTAAATGAATACAAACAAAGTTCATGGAGGCAACAAATATCGAGTTATTAAAAACGATACCGTCCTCCCTCAGAGAATGAGGCAACGATTGCAATGAGGGCTCTTATCTAACATGTCACTTTCCTGTGTGCATTGCTCATGAACTTGATGTAAGTAGCCTCAAAACCCACACTATGAAATTTGATTAAAAGTTATTTAAGGCATATGTGTGTGTGTGTGTGTTGAAGCATTTTTCATAAGAGGGATGATATCATACTCACCAAAAGACTCCCACAGGAACAAAACGATGCATCATTTTTCCTTTTATCTCTGCAGCTTTTACGTCTTCCCTGTTAGTTATTTCTCCTGTCTTCCTTTATGATTTGTTTAATGCTTCAGCAGTGGTTTCATTTTTAACCCTGCACATTTGTTTTCTATTATTTACACATAGGCAATGGATTGTTTGCTATGCCCTTGTCCCTTCTTTTCCATGTGGCATTGAAAGCAAAATGTGTTGTAGGCCAATGTATACTGTTGCTGTTTTTACGCCTCCTCTAATAGACACCACTCCCCACTTGAACCAAAAAATAATGAAAAAATAAAAATGAACGAGGTGGACCGCTGTATGTATTACTTCAGAATAAAATGACATTCATTTTAAAACGTCTTCAGCAGTCAGTGTCCAGTTGCCTCAATTCAACTGTGGAATTGGATTATATTGTACTGTTGCAGCACGATGTCTTCGTGGTCAAGAGAGATGTGGGCACGTCAGTCCGTCATTATTTTTCGGCGGCCCAGTCCGTCGGCAACAGCAACAGCCACTTGGCGTCGCGATCATATACTTACCAATTCACATGCGCGCACACACGCACACGCCCACACACACACACACACACACACACACACACACACACACACACACACACACACACAGCGTGGTGATTGGCGAAATAAAAACAATATGGGACAATATCATTGCGGTATGTGGGACAGAACTGTATACAACACTGTTTTGTTTTTGTAATAATGAGGGGAGGATGACGAACTGACGTACCCACTTTTGTTTGACACATCTGCCTCGCAGAGCTGAGGGTTAAGGTTTGAATGTCGGTTCCATCTAAGCAGACAAAGCTTCCTGTTTTTCAAAAACAATCACATGAGGTTATATTGAGGACTCCAAATTGTCCATAGGTGCGAATGTGAGCATGACTGGTTGCTGTGTATGACTGCCGACTCGGCCTGGGTGTACCCGACTTCTCACCCATAGTCAGCCAGGATAGGATCCAGCTCACCAACGGCCCGGATGAGCGCCATAGAAAATAGATGGATTCTTCTGGTAGAGCGGCCCGGTGGACTAGTGGATAGCGCGTCGACCTCACAGTGCAGAGGTCGTGGGTTGGATCCCAGCTCCGGCCTTCCTGTGTGGAGTTTGCATGTTCTCCCGGGCCTGCATGGGTTTTCTCCGGGTAACCCCATTTCCTCCCACATTCCAAAAACAAGCATGGCAGGCTGATTGAACACTCTAAATTGTCCCAAGGTGTGAGTGTGTATGGTTGTTCGTCTTTGTGTGCCCTGCGATTGGCTGGCAACCGGTCCAGGGTGTCCCCCGCCTACTGCCCGAAGACGGCTGGGATCGGCTCCAGCACCCCACGCGACCCCTGTGAGGATAAAGCGGATTGGAAAATGGATGGATGGATATTCTAGCAGAAAACTGCATCTGTACAATTAAAACCCTGCTGCTGCCTGATAATAAGATGCCTCACCCCAATTGTGCCTAGTACACTCTGCAGTTGAGTAGCACCCTCAGTGGCATATTTGACATTTGAACTGTCCCTGAAATCAAATTCAAATGTCATCCATAGCGGTTAAAGTCACCACGTACGTATGCTCAGTAAGATTTGTGTTCTTTCAGCGTTCACAATGAGACGAATAAAATAACTATTGATTAAAGCACTCATCTCACTTGTAAATGACTGTAAGCTCTGAGCTGCTTATCCACCGCGCTCCAAGTGTCAGTATGTTTGCAAAGCATCAGTTATAGATGTTTGGATTGAAGCCACTTTGACAAGCTGTTTGGGCTGCTGAGAGCCTGTAATTGTGGGAGACGTGCAGATTCTATTTCCCTTGGTCTGGCTGTTTTATTCCACTTCACTCAGGTAG